CATATTCACATTACTTTGAATGTCAAGGAGAGAGGGCTACAGGCTTAGTCCCTTTTCTCTCAAGAGGCTTCTAGACTCTCTATGGGCAAAACATGTCCACTCTCTCCTCCAGCAACCTTCAGACTCCAAATGTCAGTTCTTTCCTAAAAAAAGATTTAACATTCTGCCTCATGTGAAAAACCTAACTCCGAAACACCTAGGCTTACATAGACCACAGGCCAAATCACGTACCCCGAAACAGTCCACTGTGCTGTGGGATGGAAGCTTTCTTATAGTCCTGTCTTCTGTCTCCCCTCTGTCAAGTGACTTGTTGCTATTGCTGGAAAGTTCATCAGCAGTGGAGACTGAACCCAGGTCTTCATCTCCAAATCCCACCCCTTTCTGCTACTGATAAACTATTTTTGTTACTGTCTATTCTACATTACCCATCCTCCTTGTCATTTCTATTGAGAAATGTAACCAAGAGTTGACCGTAGATGAAGAAATGTAGACTCAAGGAATTTGCTGACGGTCACACGATGGACATGACTCCCCTGAGCTCTGTGTTCTAACTGCTGCTCTACAGGGCTTTCCAGATCCCAGGTGCCATGGAGGCCATGTCTCTCCACAGGTGCACGTGGGGCGAGGGGGACTATAGAGCACTGAACTCAGAACTGGAAGATGCCAGCTCTAGACTAGTCTCTACAGATACACACAAACCTACAATAAACATACTGTTTACTCTGTTTGCCCCTCACACCTCTGGTAGTAATTAAATGAGAAGAGAAAGAGAAAAGTACTCTATAAATATGTTGTAATTAGTACTAATGAGGGCAGGTTTAAAAGAAAAGGTCTAGAGCATGCTTAACCAAACAGAGCACTACAGTATACCTACCTCTTTATAAAAAGTCAGTTCTCATCTGTTGGTAGAACTACCAAACTCAAATATAATAACTTAAATCGAATAAGACAAAATTAGGTGTTGCCCTTTAAAGACCATCAAGAGTTTTTAAAAGCAGGTATTCTAAAATATTCTCTTCTTGAGGATTATTTCCCTAGTCTCAATTCCAAAGAAAGAACATATAAACAATCTCTGACTTTCTAGACTATCTAAAACTGATAAAGTCAACTGTTTTGCATTTATGAAACTGTAGAGAATACGGTAGGCAGTAAATACCATTTGTGGTTTAATAACTAATGTTTTTCATTATTTTAGCCCTTTCATGAAGATGAATTTATACTTTAATATCTCCAGTTCACTAACAAACATTAAACACGTAAGAAGTCCTCCCCCAAAAAATATGTGGTAACATTTAGAGCTAATTCATGCTTCCAGTCAAACCTGATGAAAAAAACATTTTTCACCATTAAAAATAAAGCATATTTAATTGACTGCTTGAATTGGTTTAATCATATCAAGGAAGTTTTCAGCTACCTTCCTAAATTGTTACTCTTCCAACCTCTTTTATCTCTAGAAAAGGATTTTTTTTCTAGTTCACTAAACAAATCCTTTCATGTGAACCTTAAGGTAACTTTAACCCACAGACCCTCCTGGTTAAACACCTCTGTCAAATATGTTCACAGGCATGGAATCTGCCACTCATTTGGCTTTTAGACACATGCTGTGTGCCCCTGTATAATTAGTTTCTTGAATCATCCTACTAACGGATTAATTTGACTCTGAATTTACTGTCTGAAATTTAGAACACATCTTTCCACAAATGTAATCACATGGCCTAGTGAGCAATCACCCAACAGGAAAGTTGCTTAAGAGTATAGAGGGACCAAACTCATTGTAGAGATGAACTGAGAACACCAAACACCTTCAGCTGCTATAACCGCTGTACGACAGCCTTCTAAAAGTATTTATGACAAGAACCTAAATTATAACTAATAGATTTTTTGGATATATTATGTACTAGAAACCTGAAATCAGCAGGAAACCTAATTAAAGCAGTCAATATAAAATGGCAATCGACGTTGAATACTGGATAAAATGAGATTTTAATAATCTCTTCCCCTAAGTTAAAGATAGTAAATGAAACTCCTCTGTAAAATATAATCTTTTAAAAGTCAAAAGAACTGCAAGAGGCATATTAATTCAACAGAGGTGGTTATTATTAATTATAACTGAATAACTATCAACTTCTTCAGACAATTGATTGACATGTTAACTGAAAGTGATAGGTTTTTAAACAACTTAGGAGTTTTTGAGATTCTAGATAATTTTCTATTCAAGGAAATTATTCTTAAGAAAAGATAAACAGAATCACATCAGGGCCTCAATATGCCCATTCAAAAAGAAATCATATAACAGCATATCACTTACCTTTTTTTAAAAAGCATATCATCCCTAATTCCAGGATGAATAAAATCTAACTTAAAACAGTTAACATGAAAAAGATGAGCACTGGGGGTAGAAGGAGACAAGACTGGGGAGGGAAGAATGACGGGCCAGTGGCTCCATCAGCTTTAAGGAACCGTGTCACGGAGCTACGGCAGGAGGTCACAGAGAGAATGAAAAGGAGCATCTGGTCAGGCCACATGCTCTGACACGGTCAGGTCCTGTGTGGAACACGGGGTGCAACTATGAACATGCATCGCCCGAGGAACTGGCACACTAGATACCAGGCAGTGGGAAATCATCAGCAATCCTGATGTCCGGGGATGGATGCCTCAAACCATACTGCCCAAGAAGGAGTTAGAGACACTGAGGAGTTTACTCCAGAGAAGAGAAAGCTTAGTGGGGTGGAGAAAGGAAGAGGCATAAGGTACCTGAAGCCACATGGAAGAGGGAGATTTATCTTGTGTTGCTTCAAAGAACATAATATTAAACAAATGGGAAAAATTAAAGAGAGAGAGAATCTAGTTCTGTGTGGGAAAGAAGAATCCAAAAATTAGAGTTGTCTGACTAGAATGGGATTCTAAACAAGTAGTGATCCCTGAATATGAAGCAGGGTCTGGATGCCTCTCTGACGTGAACTCCCCCACCCCTGTCGTGGGAAGTAGACAGGCTAAAGAAAAAAGAATTGAGTCCTTAAGAATTAATAGAGGATTTCCATTGCTGAGGGTTTGTCTAAGTAGGTAGTCTGGCCAATTCTCATATTAAAAACTAAAGATGTTGGATAAAACATTAAAAACAGATAATATATATGACCTGGCTGGTGAGTCAAGAATATTAGAAGCCAAAGATTAAGTGAAGGCAGGAATCCCAGGAGGTAAGCAGGGGACTAAAGGTAGTTTCTGCCTTGGGGACATTTACTAAGGGTGGGTAGACATCAGCTTTGATTTCACATTCTCATGGGGTCCTGGAAGCAGGGGAAAAACACGTACAGCCTGCCCAAAGTGAAGCGTCTAACAGGACACACCAAAGGACCACACCTCAGTACCCGGGAGAAACAGAATTAAACTAACACCTGAGGACTACGAAGATTTGCCTGTCTCAAATCTTGGTACTAAAAGAACAGGGAGAGATCCATGCACCTCTAAGAATTCATAATCCCAAGAACAGCCCTTATATAAGTTTGTGGCCAGAAATAACTTAAGGTTCAAAAAACATCAAGTTGAGAGCTGAGTTTCTGGTAGTCTCGGGGGCAGGAGTGGCTCCAGTCATCCAGGAGAAGCAAAGGCAGCTCCTCTCTGAAAGAACCCACTATCAACTTTGGTCTCAGAGAATTCTCGCAGATAAAATTCTAACATATATAAACTAAAAAACTAAAAGAAAATACACACAAAAGCAAGGCACCATGAGTAAGAGTCAGCAAAAACAACAGAGAGTAGAATCAGAACTATAGAAGCTTTAGCTACCGAATTTATCGAAAACAGGACTGAGACTGAAGGCATGTGTATACACGCATATATACCACGTATATACATGCATCACACACACAACACTCAAAGCCAGCCAGGAGTCTGGGTATGCTGGCATCTCATTCATTTCTCAGAAGCGTCTTAGTATCAGAGATTCAGAGCTGCTGCAAAAGTTATTACATAAAGTGTAATTAAAACCTGAGGATAAGTCTCCTCTAGGTATTCACTACACTACACTTATCTCTGTACAAAGACCTGTAGCTAGAATAATGCTATTTAAGTACTTGTACATACATGCCTATGTACATGTGCTTTAAGTCAACTCCAACTGTATTTATTTTGAAACATGCTAGAATAGTTAAAAGTGGTCAAGTTTATAAATTCTAAAAATTTAATTCTATTAACCTCTCACAAAAGACTAAAAAAAAAAACACACACAACAAACATTTTAAAAATCATATATGAACTCTACAGCAGGTATTACCACTTAGAAACTGTAATGCTCTACCGTAAACCCACTTACGACTTTCACTGCAAAAGTAATTGAGGAAAAAGCTGGAAATGGTCCTATTGATATGGGTTCCAAGTTAAAGAATCTTAAACCACCAACTGAATATGGGACTAAATAAAAATTAAACATGGGGAAATTTCACTACAAAATGGAGGGGTTAGCCAAGGTTTAAAATAATAAATAAGTATATATATTTTTTCTTTGATGTTCATTATCTAATGTCCTTTCCTTAGCTCTTTACACTTTAATGCTAATGTGTGTTTATATAACATGTGTCAGGCAAATGACCCAAGGACAACATCATTCTCATTTCACTGGTTTCAATAACCTAATAAAAAGCTATCTGATGCTGCTAGAAATTCAGGACCCTGGCGTTGCCTCATGTTTCCTGCCCTAGAAAGGCTCGTCATGGTCCAAACACTACTGTTAGTCACAAAGTTGATGGTGATGAATCAGAGGGAGGAATAAAAGCAGGCTTCTAAGACAATCTGCTTGATGCACTACACATGGGAACAAATGTTAAACTAGAGCCTTCAAACCTTTAAAAGATGTTCAGTCAAAGTTAAAAGAGTATTCAGCTACAGCTCATCCAATATCCCATTAAGTAACCAGAAAGACACAGAAAAGGGGAAGGAGATGAAATCTCACTAGCACCAAATCAGAAGCAAAAGTAAATCATAAAGACCAAGAGTTAAACTACTTTCTGAATTTGATTCCTTGTAATTACATAGCTAATGGAACTGAATCAAAAAACACACAATGGCAACCTAACCTCACCTCCAGAAATAGGATATGCCTTTGGGCCTAAATGTAAGAACTGCCTCTCCTTTCACTGCCTTCCCCATGGTTTATAAGCAGGCATGGGATAAGCCAACAAGAAAATTGAGCAGAGAGCTCTTCTGCAGGGGAAATGTTTTTGTATTAGACATGCTATGAGGAAATGAAAACCTCCATTGTCCATCCTTCTACAAAACTGAAAGATCTGGATCTGCCATAACACAATGCTGTACAAACAGGTATTGCTCATACCACTACTACCCTCAGACTACTACCACAAGCCTGGCAGGGCCAGCCCCTGCACACAGGTGGCCACAGTAGCACTGGCATCCTGATGCTAGGGCTGGCCAGTGGCTCTTGGCCTAGCTCTAAAAGGTGACCTAAGCAACACAGAGAAGTGCCACCCTTTAGTGTAGGAGGAGAGACGAAAGCTGGAGAGGTGATCTGGTGTCTGAGAAGGCCAGATGGGTCACAGCCAGGCTAAACACACTAGAGTGGAGAAACTACATAAGCAGAGACAGAGACAGAGAGAGACAGGAGACCCAAGCAGACTGACAATGAGAATCAGCAGGAATGAGAACCCTCTGCCAACCCCACCCGACCTAGCTCCACGGAGTTTCTTCTGGCACCAAAAGAATCCTAACCACAACACAGCAACCATCTCTGGAATCTCGACCTGTTTCTGTAGCCATCACAAATGCCGAGATCATCACCACCTGGTGCACCAAGGCTACGGAGTATTCTATTCCCAGAAGGAGAGAGAAGAGTGACAGTGAACATCTGTAAGGACCCACTAATACTCCATTCAACGAATGAGGGAAATTATCAATTGCTGGGAAACAGAAGCAAATATTCATGGTATCTTTTATCAAAGACAGGATAGTTTATTTTGGGAGAAGACCTCTTAAAACACATGAGATAACTGTATAAAAACTTCAAAAGCAGTAAGCCTTGTCAAAGTTACACAGCACCACTGAAGAGAGGTGAGCATGTTAGACATTGATATATCACATGAGATTTCTCAGCCTCCCTTTAAGAATAATATGCATTTTCAACGATTTCTGTGAAAGTCCCCAAATATTTGGGGGATATACCCTGACGCTAAGTTACCACAGTAATATTTTTTCTTAAGGTCTTTGTATTATTAACTACTTTTGGAGCAGTTTAACATTTTCATTCACCACAGCATTAAACATTTTTTCAGAAGGTAAAAAAATAAAGGAACATTAACTACTAAACTTTGATGTAGAGATTGTAATTTTTTCCTAATATATATTTCCTAAGCTCTCTCTCAATTTTCTTAGATGTGAAACAAACACGACACAAAAAAGAAAGCGAAGTGGTGGGACGAGAAAAGCTTCCATGTTAACCTCTGTTGGAAAAATCACACTCCCTAGTTAGTACCCGGTATCAAGTCTGAGCAGACCCCCGCTCTATGGCTAGACCCCAGTCGCATCTGTGCACACTCCAAACCATCTCCACTCTCCATCACCGCCTTCTCTGCCATTTCAAATTCTCCTACAAAGCAGCTGAAGGCATACTCCCAGGCCTAACCAGGTTTATTAAAATCTTAACTCAATGCAAATTTAGTAGACTGATTTTTTTAAAAAAATTGTTTATGATTCTGTACTTTTCTATAATATATAAAGTTATTGAATATTTTAGTCAACTAATTACAAAAGCATGATTAACTGTGAACAAAACAATAATGAATAAAAGATACTCAACTTAGGCATGCTTGGAAAAATCCAGGACTTTTTTGATATATAGCAAAGACCAGAAGTCTAATTCTTCAGGTTTTTTGTTTTTTTCCCTTCCAGTACCTATGGATCTACATCAAGGTCTCCGGAGTGGCATTAATGAGCAATGCTGAGGAAGAGGAAGTATAGACCAAAGCAAGGTAAGTCACTATGACTGATTTAAAATAATAAAATAATGCCCCTGTCACAAACTAGAAATGCTTAAATAGGAATTTTAAATAAAAATGCTATATTTTACACATAGCTATTGTTTTCTCTATTATTTCTTAAAATGAAAGTTTTACAAGGTGAGGGACTTCTTTGAAAGCAAAGCCTTCTTCAATTCCGATCAATATCAAAGCACTGCACTACCTGTAGTAGGAGTGATAGGTTCTTTGGGATGCCCGGAAGCGATGATGAGGTCACGCCCGGCTTTTCAGTTCCACTCCTAGCAGCCGCACAGATTCACTCCTCCGTTAGGATCTGCATTTCTTTTGGGAACTTCATGATTTAATTTGATGTTCATACTGTCCACTTTTGCCAGCAGAGCTCCTTCAGTCTGGCTTTCGAGTTCCTTTGACAGGCCTCTGTCATTTTGAGCACTTCCTTACTTTTCAGCACAACACGATGTTCAGGCTCATTTTGTTTTTTCTGTCCCCAGGCTCTGGAATCAGTCAGTTCTCTAAGGAGCCTGGTTCCTTTCAGGGGAGAACGATATTTGGAAACCGAGATCTGGATGCTGGGAGTGCTCACTGCTAGGGGAGTGCTGCGGCTCCCAGGCTCCGCCAGTGAGCAGAACCAGGACCATACGCAAGTCTACGGATACACACACATACACTCACATTCGTCTCTGCTCATTTCCGTATGTCTACGTTTACTGAAATACACGAGTGCATGACTCAGAGCTCCAATGTGTAACTACCACCCCTGGATTCACTCTTGTTTTCTCTGTTTCCATAGTTGTAATTCTCTTTTCTGATGTGAGAAATCTGGTTCCCTGCCATCCCTGACATACATATGTATTTGATCAATCCCCCTGTATGTGACTCATGTCTCATGGCCACCACCAAGCCCCTAGCCCCAGGGGGGCTCTCAAACATCCCACGTCAGGCTGCTATTGTCACTCCCTACCCCACCCAACCCCCCATCTATCCCTTTCAGGCTCTGATGCCCGCATGCCCTCCTCACTCTACTTGGGCTCTGACAGCTGTGCAGGGCGGCTCTCTCCAAAAGCACCACCCCCTCACCTCCGCTGGGCCACCATGGCCCACCGCCCTCCTCCCCACAGACAGCTACCTTGCCCAGGCCCACCTCATGGATCGGAGTTGATCTGCTGAGGAAGCAGAGAAGGACAAACTTGGTAATTGTCTTTAAAATAAAATACAACCAATATTTTACTAGGTGGTTCATTTTCATTTTATGTAATAGTCACATTCCTGAAAATTTCCACAGACATTTAAATTATTATACAGGAATCACATTTTAGAGCCCTGGGGGCCTTCTACCCAAAGGAACACTGTGGTGAGCTATTTCATAAAGCAAAAAGTCATTCTGTAGTATGAATAATCCCTACTAATATATCTGTCCTGCAAAATTTGATTTTCACCAAACATGATTTTTTAAAGTGCTAGTACCTGAGGAAGATATGAAGTTCACTAAAACAGTCAAGGTACTCCAGAATTTCACAACTTACATCTGAACAAATAAAACACCATTTCATTGTAATGCAGACCCCCAGAGAAAAATTAAAGGGCACATTCAGGAAGTTTTTAATAGCTCACAGAATGTAATCTTAACGTAAGTGTCAATGCATCTAAGTCTGGAAAGGGGATCAAACTAGGAACTCACAAAGTAATTCTAGTGCAGACATATGCAATCAATAGAATTTTAGGAATATTTAATTACCTGTATATTTATTTAGAAGCTTGGTGTGAAATCCATACAAGAGGATTAGAAAAGAGCACAATGCCTTTGTGTCATTAACTGCTATCAGAGAAAGACAAAGCACCTCTTTGCCCCAATGATCCTGGAAGCAGGAGGTTTGGTTAGCATCAGGGAACCCATCAAAGGGGGAGATGGCAGCAACAGGGAGCTGGCCGGCTGGGCTGATGCTCAGTGAGGTGGGCAGGGGTGAAAAACAAGCGAAAGAAAGGGGGAACCAGCACAGTCAGGACTAGGCACGCATGTGCAAGAACCTGGGAGCCAAGTCCTTGCTGGGGCAGGCGCTGGGGGAAGTGCAGTCAGGTTGGTCAAACTATGTTAGAGAAGCAGGGCAGTGAGTGACACCGGGGTCCAGCTGACCACGAGGAGTTAACTGAGCTCACTTGACCTGACTTTTGCAGCCAAAGGAAGCTTTCTTTTGGTATGCTGGGTCTTTCTCTGGCAACCTTGACTGGGACAGTCAGTTCTTACACTGGCAAGGGGAGTGCAGACTAGGGTTAAAAGCACAGATTCTGAAACCAGACTGAGTTCAAAGCCAGGCTTTGCATGTATAGTAGTAGCTGAGTGACCTTGAGCAAGGTTTGCAACCTCTCTGTGCCTCAGTTTCCATGTGATGTACATTTCCTCCACACCAGAATGGGGATGAGTGGAGCAAGGAGCCCACTACCCCGCTGCACCTCCCCTGCCCCGTGATGTGCTAGACCATGGAAAGGCAGCTGCGGTGGAATGGTCAGGGGGCCACCCCAAGTCAGAAGGCTTCTCTGGGTAGGTTTTCCCCAAAACTCTCCTCTGGTAGCTTCTGCCTCCTCTAGGACAAGAAAAATCAAGGGGAGAAGCACAAAGCAGGGGACACCTCTCTGGAAAGGCAATGCTGCTGGGAGTTGAGACCACTGCCCTGGCCCCTTCTCCCTCACTGTAGCCTTCCTGGCATGTCCGTGGGAGGATGGCCCAGCCCCTGGGACCGCTGCAGCCAGCAGGGGACCTCACTTGTGCTCAGTTCAGCCCACTGTGGACCCCATCCAGCCTCATCCTGGTCCCCTCTGTTAGTGCCTCCTCCAGCCCTGACAGCCTTGAGGTCATGGCGGCCCCCGCAGTCTTACCTCCTTCACACCCCATGCTCAATGTGAGCTCTCAGACACCTAGACTTCTGGAGAAGCCAGCCTGTTGGCCCTGCTTCAAAACTGCTCTCGTAACAGCAGCCTGACGCTCACCTCAGCCTGTGCCTCTGGGGTCTCCAAGTTCACACAGCAGCTGCTTGGAATTCCCAGATAGGC